CGAAAGATACCAGAGGGACAGTCAAACTCATAGATCGAAAACAAACTGACAACGCCATGGCCAAAAATAAAAAGACAAACAGACAAATAATAGTACAGATGACACAACATAGAAAACCAAAGACTAAGCAACACGAACACCACCAAAACTGGGGGTGATCTCAGGTGCTGCGGAAGGGTAAGCAGATCCTGCTCCACATGTGGCACCCGTCGTGTTACTTGTGTTATTACAAATCCGGTAAATAGTCTAATTCGGTAAGTCACATTAGTGAAAAGGGAGGGTATTGTAGTTACGACATAAGGAACATATCCGATATCATCCGTGAAACGGTTATTCCATAACGGTCAACCAACTCGTGATGGCGTCCGTAAAATTTACGAAGGGATGACTTCAACTTCACCATTTGGAACTCTTGGTTTAATAGCTTCCTTGTGAGCAGCAATCCTCTATCAAGGAAATCATGATAGGAAACACAAGCCCGGGAATATCGTATCAATTGGGAGATATATACTCCGTATGCAGGCGCTGCTGGAATGTTGCTACAGAGAAACGGAAAGTTCACAATTGGGAAGCTGAAATCATCTCTTTTGTTGTAAAGTTTTGTTTTCAACCAACCCTCATTGTCAATTTCTAGATGTAAGTCAAGATATGAGGCAGACTTGACTGTATCTGTAGTATCCTTTATCTCTAGTTCGATAGGATAGATTCGTTCAACATAGTCACCAAATTTTGTATTATTTAGTGAGAGAACATCATCTATATAGCGGAACGTAGAGTTAAAGGATATTGCTAACTACTAACTTTCTTGCTAAGAAGTTCCTGTATGATTGATTGATTGATTGTTGGTTGCTTAACGTCCAGTGGCAAATATTTCATGCATATTCAGGACGAGAACAAGTTCACAATAAATACAATAGGTAGGTTCTGTAATAGATTAAGGGATTAAGGTCGGAGAAATTTAGACTGCCACGGGAAATGAGGGTATATTGGATAGGGACAGAAACTTAGCCTTGCAACAGGTCACCTACGGACCCCTCAAAGAGTTGTTGCAAGGGTTCTTAACGTGCAAAGAGCGTGGCATTCTCTTTACACGAGGCATCGGATTTAACGTCCCCATTCTGACCGGACGTGGCTGCAAATTTTTACATCCCGCACAGCCAAACGGACGCCCCACTTTAGCACGGGTTTTACTGCCGGTCGGAGGAAGACCAATGGTGACCATACTTCTATTCCCCAGTCACCCTTGGGGGGAGTTCCTGTATGAAGTCAGCCTCATAATAATACAGAAACAAGTCGGCAAGAAGAGGGGCACAATTGGTTCCCATTGGAATTCCGACAGTCTGATGAAAAACACGTCCTCCAAACGTAACACATATGTTGTCAATCAAGAAATCAAGCATGTTGATAATGTCAGTTTCAGAGAATTTTTTGTTTGAATCAGAGTGATTCTTTACAAAGTAGGATTTATTCCTCCCCAAGACAAGATACTTGTATCTACGTACGCCATTCTTATTAATGATTGATTGATTGTTGGTTGCTTAACGTCCAGTGGCAAATATTTCATGCATATTCAGGACGAGAACAAATTAACAATTAATACAAAAGGTAGGTTCTGTATTAGGGGCGTCCGGGATTAAGGTCGGAGAAATTTAGACTGCCACGGGAAATGAGGGTAAATTGGATAGGGACAGAAATTTAGCCTTGCAACAGGTCACCTACGGACCCCTCAAAGAGTCGTTGCAAGGGTTCTTAACGTGCAAAGAGCGTGGCACTCTCTTTACACGAGGCATCGGATTTAACGTCCCCATTCTGACCGGACGTGGCTGCAAATTTGTACATCCCGCCCAGCCAAACGGACGCCCCACTTTAGCAAGGGTTTTACTGCCGGTCGGAGGAAGACCAATGGTGACCATACTTCTATTCCCCAGTCACCCTTGGGGAATTCTTATTAATGAAACAAATTAATACCAACTCTTTCAATTTGTCTTTTAGTTTGGAATGGGGAATACTTGTGTAAAGTGTAGAAAAGTCAAATGTTTTAATACTATTGCAAGATGAGAGAGTCTTAGATTGTATGTAAACTAAAATATCTTCGGGATTTTTTAGTATCCACATCTGATTCACGCCACCTCTAGAATAGACAGTTTCACAATAACTCATATCTGTATGTATGTTGTGCATGAATGATCTGATTATGGTCCTCCACACAATTTTAAGCTTTTTTTTTGCCATTCCTTTCACAAAAATTATTTATACTATTTTTGGCTGTGATGGATAAGGAAAATAACGACTGGTAATATGTTAGGCCAAAAATTTGGTGATTAATGTTATCTGGTCTGTGTCTGTTTGTTCATTCGTCCCGTTTCAGGTTAAAGTTTCTGGTCAAGGGTAGTTTTTGATGAAGTTGAAGTCAAATCATTTTGAAACTTAGTACACATGTTCCCTAGGATATGATCTTTCTAATTTTAATGCCATTTAAAGTATTGACCTCAATTTCATGGTCCACTAAACATGTAAAATGATAGTGTGAGTAGGGCATCTGTGTACTATGGACACATTCTTGTTTACAACAATTTTAATTGGTTTGATCAGTAAACATTTAAAACATATATCAGGATTGAAAAATCTAAAATGGCTGATATTTTGACAGAATACATGTATACAGTGTAACCTGTCTAATCCAAAACCTCAGTAGTCCAACATCCTGCTTTAACAGACACATTTTCATGATCCCAAAATATTATTATCCTTGCAGAAAAAAACTAATTATTGCGACACACTGCTATCATCTCTCTTTAATATCTTTTTCTGTTTTTACAGATGAACCACAGGAACAATCGACTAGACACAGAGTTAGAAGGGTAATACCACCAATAGAATCGGATTCCGAAAAAAGTGAAGAACATGAACATAAAGAAGTGTATGATGATTCCGGTATATTTTTCTTAATAATTGTATAATTAATTGCAGGAAGGTCACATTATTCGTGAATTTGTTGGTTTAAAAGTCTATTTCTATGAGATGATGCATCTTACAGACTGATGACAGATAAGGGAAACAAATTTATTGTGTAATTGCGCAAACGACATTTCAGGGTCAGTTATAATTGATTTGTCTATTTTTAGAAACTGAAAGTTTTATTTTTTGACAACAGAAAGTGTTATCAATTTTTATAGTTATTAATTCATTTCATTGCATGAAAAAAGAATTAATATTTTAATTATTTTTCCGGGATAATGCATTTGTTAGGGTCTGCGGGAATAAAAAAGCATGAAAAGTCAAATTTTTTTCTATTCAGTAAATCGCCAAAATTGGGTCTGCAGATCGTAAAACAACAAATTAAAAACTCCTGGCCTTATCAGTATTTGCTATTTTAGTGATTTTTGCACCCACATCATCTATTTAAACATGTACACCAACTTTTGTTTTGTACAGAAATTATAGTGCCATGCATGCATTTAACATATTAAAAAAAAACTCCCTATATTTAACAATTGAGAGTACCTTATGAACCAAACATTAACATTACGTTTACATGGACATACTAACATAACAATATGTAACTGCATGATATATTTTGAATTCTGACATTGTATAATTGAAGATTTATGTTTTTAGGCTGGAAAGCAGTTACACTTGGTGGAAAATGGGGGGGGGGGGGGGGGGGGGGGGGGGGGGGGGGGGGGTGACTATTATTTGCCATAAATATCATAGCCAATTGGTGTAGAAAAACTATAAAGTCCTATGCCTTGCATAAGTTTTGCCTTTATATGCAAGAAGTATTTTGACATGCATGTAGTTTTTCTTTATACATGCTTCATATTTCACTTTATAATTTTAGACAAAGATGAGGATTTCTTGCCCCCTAAAAATAAAAAAACAGAGACATGAGGAATCCACCACTGATGAGAATGCTTCAGGTTTGTGGTTTTGTTTTGATGCATCCCCAAAAAATAAACGCAGAAAATTCTGAAATTTAGAATACCTATGACCTGCCCTTAAGGTTTCTGATACTGCAATTAATTAAGAACAAGTTGTGCGCTTTGAAAAGGTCTAGGAGATATCACAATTTTTTTTTTCTCCAATATTTCATCTTCAACCCAAAAAAATTAAATAATTAAGTATTAGAAACAGTGCAAAAGTAACAACGAAACTGACTGACATGGAGGGTTTATGTAAAATTTCCAGGAAAATGTCAGGACTTTTTCAGGTGTCAGTGTAACCCTATAACTAGGGTTACACTACTGAATTTCAATAGCTTAACTGGGAGTTAAATGGAACACTATGAAAAATACCTATTCATGGATATCAAGTCATGTCTTATATTGCAGGTAAAGCCAAAGTTAAAAAAAGCAAAAACAAAAAACAAAAACAAAAACAAACAGATGAAACAGATGAGGTATGACTATTTTGCACTAAAGTTTTGAAGATATAAATGTAACTATATATTTATAGAAACTAAATGACTAAATTAAAAAAGGTAATCTTGCCCTAGTTTATAGAAAATTTAGAAAATAGTTCATTGTTAGCTAAATGAAAGCCATTCCTAAATTTATTCTTAGCTTTTCATTCCCGCTCACCACAATTTTTATTGTGCAATTATACCATTATACAATCCCGAAATATTTTTTGAGGTCATATAAAAATCTAATTTGTACTCGCTGCATGTGGTCATATAATGCTTCTGTTAGGCTTTGCATATTTTTAATATATAACATGTAAAAAAAGCCAGAAAAGACTTTTGTCTTTTAAAAAGACAAAAGGAAAAGTTATCAAATGAAACTTCGTCAATGATGTCAAGGAACCTCCTGTCAGAGGATAACAGTATGATAGATGAGGCAAGTACATTTATAGGTTGCACTTTGTAAATACAGCTGTTTCTCAAAACACGCTTCTTTTGGGGAGATCTTGTGACTATTCATAGAAAATTAATTTTGTTTACATACTGGTTCTCAGTTATGCTCTCTGTGTTCCATCTCACAGAGACATAACTTGGGAATGTTACCAGTAAATATACACGTGCATATTGTTTACATTGAAATCTGTGGTAACCTGTAATTTGATTTATAGGAGTTATTGCCCTTTAACTTGAATGAAATTGTATGTGATTATGCAGTGCTCCACATTTTGAAGAAGTGACAATATTAGATTTTATTTACAAAGAACCAAATCTATAACCTTTGATAGTTTGCCTTATTGAACACTGATCTTTTGGTAGTTGGCACTACTTTTTCTGTGTTATTGCAGTATTTACTTTGACCCTCTGAGAAGCATTGATGAAATCAATCACATAAGAATGCTAGAGATAAAATGTTTCTTTTTTTTTTAAATACTTGAGATTGCTAGGATAATTTGCAACAGAACCACATTCAATTGGACTTGCCTATCGAACAAGAAATACAATAAAAACAACTGTGCCCACAAACATGAATTTTGGGTTACATCTTTATCGTGTGTTTATCTTGTTTTACAGTTAAATTTGCTGACTTCCGCTGTGAGAGATGTCCAATCAAGCCAAGTTACAATCATGGCAAGATTGGACTCATTTATTGAAACTTTCCAATGCAGGGACTGCATTAAGCAGGTGGTTAAGGAGTACAAGGTAAACCGTACAATCATGCATATCATCAGTTCTTAACAAACATGATATTTTTATTTTTTGAATTAACATTTTTTTAATATTGTCCTAAGTAGAATATTGCCGGAGTTTAAAAGTGCAAATAATTTTATTTAAGGTACAATATGCAAGAAATAACTTTAATTTTATAGCTTAACCTTAAAATTGCTATGCTAAAAAACTACCATGATGTCATGATTTTAAAAAGATATGGAACAAGAATAACTTTCGATTTCATTCAACATATTAAAACTTAACTGGTGGCTACATCTTTGATTTATATAGTACTGGATATGTACAAAAGTTTGGTCACCATGTCCTATATTTACACATTAAAATTGTCAAGTTTTGTCAAGTTTTATATTTAGGTTCATATCTTAAATGTACATACCACATATATATATATACTAAAGAATAATATATACAACAACTAAACTCTGTAACATTCATAGTACTGAGCTTTTTATTGTGCAACAATTTGCTCACCATAATCCATATTTCATACTATATTGAATTAAATAGACTTAGATACAAATTACTGGTCTTAAATTTTCAGATTGTAGTAAAATCTGGGTCAACTCCAGGTAAAGAAAAAGCAAGTAAACCTGAAGAGCAACCGCAAACCAGCAAACCTGAAGAGCAACCGCAAACCAGCAAACCTGAAGAGCAACCGCAAACCAGCAAACCTGAACAGCAAACAAGCAAATCAGAAGAACCAATAGGTGATATATCAGGGATAGAAGTCAATGGTATGTTTGATATTCAGAAAGTTTATTTTCTATATAGTGCTTTGTAAAAATATTTGATCAAACATCAAATTCTATAGTACACAATTTGTTTGCAATGCTGGTATGGTGAATAGAATTTGTCCTTAATTGGTCCTCTTAAAATCCAAGTGAAACATTTGGTTAACCAGGTGGGCGATGACAGGCTCCTGGGAGTCTCTGATTTTAAATGTTCATTTTAATAACCTCCTGTATTATATGCCAATGGATATTATCTATCCATCACTGTTTTCGAGTTAAAAGGACCAAAGTGATAACAATTTCCTAGATTTAAACTGTTTTCAATTTTGACAAACTTGCCATATCTAATTTTCAGGGTTTTTATTTCTCTTCAGAACTTTGCTTCTATACGTCAATCATTATCAAAATGTTTCACCTAAAAATGCAATATCCAAAACAATTCAGGTGTACATTTTTGATATAAAACAAAAACTTTTTAAAGCTATAATCTGAACATTAGCGTTTTCTAAAATGTTTTGGCTAAAATGCATTATGTGTAAATGTAGCATCATTGTCTTTACAGAGAGTGAAGAAGACAAGACTACACTAGATGATGTAGAACATTTTGAAAGTAACACTGATGGTGAGTTCAATATTAACCAAAGTTGCCCTATATCAACCTCAAACGTTACCCAATATCCCGGTCACAGTTTCATCTTCCTTTCTATTAATAACTTATTTTCATATTTCTATTGTATGATGTTTAATTATTTTTAATCCACTTTTGATGCTTTTTTAGGCGCCACGTACAATAGTAGAGGGGCATTATGTTTTCTTGTCTGTGCGTTTGTTCGTTCATCCTGCCGCCTGTCCCACTTCAGGTTAAAGTTTTTGGTCAACATAGTTTGTATGAAGTTTAAGTCCAATCGACTTCAAACTTTGTTCACATGTTCCCTATGTATGATCTTTCTAATTTTAATGCCAAATTAAGAGTTTTTACCCCAATTTCATGGTCCATTGAACATAGTAAATGATAGTGCGAGTGGGGCATTCGTGTACTGGGAACACATTCTTGTTTCACGAAAATCGTCAACATGTAATTTGAAGTCCCACTAAAATCATATCTGAATGACAAAAAACAAAATTGAAAAACAATGGATGCCATAAACCAGAAAACACCAGATAAGATTCTGGAGGCGGATAAGGATAATTCCGGGTTTGCTGATCTAATACAATTAAAAAAAAAATCCCAGGCAGGTGACAAAATACATCTTTGATGATAAAATAATTTAACACTAGAATTGAAAACCAAAATATAATTATATGGAAAAGAAAGTAAAAGCAAGAAATATTTTATACAGAAACTCAAAATTACTTTTAGTACACAAATTGTTATGTCAAAATTCAACTTATTCAATAAAAATGTGACATTAATTTTCTTTATTATTAATAAATGTTGATATTTCATATATATATTTTTGTAGTGTAAACATATTACTACAATTATAAGAGGGAACTCCTTCTCAATTTTAAATGGCTGCCCAGTAGAATCTTGAATTTTCTCAATTTATTTTTACAGAGGAACCAAATAAATAGATTTGAATTTGAACTGCTACTTAAATTGTATACTCAGAAATGAACAATATAAATAAAGAGATACATTTGACCCTTTATATCATAGTAAAAACTACAAGACAACACACCCACCAACAGTGACACCCTCCCCTTAAAAAAAAAAGATAATGTGATTTTATTATATATAAGACAATTACATGTATAATTAAACATGTTTTACAACAGTGACACTGACAATGAAACAAGTTAACCTAACACCAAAAGCGCATAAATTTTGTATGTCACTGAGTTGTGAAATATTTCAAGTTAAAAAAGGATCTGGAATTTGGGCTGTGGACTTTTCATTTTGGAGTGTCAAAGGTCCTGGACCTGCCAGTACCAAATGTAAATTTGAACCCAAGTTCATGTATATCTAATTTAATCATACTATTATTGCGGTTTATTTCTTTACAGCATTAGTGTGTCTTGGTGAGACCCGGTATGGAATTAAGATGAAGTCAGCAGATCTAGCAAGGTGTGAAGAACAAAGCCAGACAGCCGAAAAATTTGTGTTAAACCTACTGGAATATTTAGTCACTAAATCAGACTGCCAGGCCATGACCGTGTATGGTCATGGCAAAAACAAGAGGGAAATGGATCCTCAAATGAGGAAGGCCATCAAAGTATGTTTAATTGTAAATACAACATGTAAATAAGCAAGCTCATTGTAGAAATGAAACTGTATTCCATTGATGGTAACTATACTAGGACTTCTAGCGTTGCTGTAGGTGACGCACTGTCGACTGATTTGCCACAACACAAAATACTGAAAATTCATAGGCTATAATTAATACAAGAATTAAACAAAATACCAGTGCACACTTAACTACAATCATAAGCACACATGTAAACATAAGACAACTCTGTAAACTAAAGCTTGCATATACAAACTGATAAAGATGCAGGAGTGATTTCTGGTGCTTCAGTAGAGTTAAGGTTGCATGTATGCTTTAATATTAAATTTGGATGGTGAATGGCACATTTTGATGTATCTCTATGCAAAAGGTATTAACATAAAAAAAATTTGAACTAACTTGTCATAACCTGTGATTGTAAGTTTGCCTGTATCATAAATTTTGAACATTTGAAACGCTTTGTTCCAGTTGACCTTCTGTTGACCTAATTGTGACCCATGAAGCCAAAAAAGTGATAATATACATTATCGCTATTTTGTGCATTTTTCCTTTGATTTTTTTTTGTGATAATTTTCATATCATGCTTCTCGCTTGAGATGGAAAAATTATCGCTAGAAACTAAGGAGACCACGTGGCGTTGCTAACGAAATTGACATTGAAATTGACAACGTCGTCATAGGTAAAATAGCGACAAACAGATTATCATTGGTCATCTCAACTCATGCCAGTTAAAAGATACAGGCTCTAGTTTTTTTCTAATGTATTTTTAATGTGCAAATACAATGTTTATATATGCTACTGTATACAAATAAAAATGGGATTACATATATATTCCAAACTTTTTGATTACATTCGTTAACCGCTGGCACCAATCCCGTAAAAGTTTGTTTAGACCAGTAAATTTTAGCCTGCATGCTAAGCTTTATGAAGTACAGTATAAACTATACTTTACTATATATGTACAAATATGATGATTTTTCTGTTTCAAATTATTAAGTCCAGATTAAGTGTAACTATAATGTAATTTCTGGGTTTTTTTTCTTTTCAGGTCACATGTTTAGTTTATACAAAAGAGAAATGTCACCTGAAGAAAAAACAAAGTATTGGATGGATACTATTGTTGTAAAGATCAATGACAAAATAAGGGGTATCAAAAATGGAAAATACAAATCAAAAAAACAGTGAAGACTAAAAATTCTGTATTGTGCTATATCACACTTGAATTTTTTAAATACAGATGTTTTATCATTGATCTATTTTTGTTTTATTATTTATAGATAATGAATGATATATACTTATGAGCATTTAACAACCATGTACGTTGATAAACAACCTGAAGTTATACAGATCATGCAAGTACACAAGTGAAAAATCGTAAGATTTATACAAATAACTACTCACCATTAGTTACTCAAGATTTTTAAAATGCCCAACAGTGTATATACAACAGTGTATATATGCCAAGTTCGTAATATGAATCTGTGGATGGATTCGCATCACACTGCCCAAGGAACACAGAAAATACGAAACTTAAACCCAATGTAAAACAAATATTCTGGTTTATCAAAAAAGTATTTGAGCTGGAATGGCAGGCTGAGATACAAATTACATAAATGTGTATATTCCCTCAGAAAATGCAAAATCGTAGCATTTCGGGAATCCCGCCAAAAGTCCGGGATTCCCGATGTAAATCCCAGTGGAAATATACTGGGATCCCAGTATATTTCCACTGGGATAAAATTTCGGGAATCCCGCCAAAAGTCCGGGATTCCCGATGTAAATCCCAGTGGGAAATATACTGGAATCCCAGTATATTTCCACTGGGATAAAATTTCGGGATTCCCGCTAAAAGAGCGGGATCCCAATCAGAATCCCAGTATATTCCAATCAAAATCCCACAATATCCCAGTGGGATCCCAGTATATTTCAACCGGGATTTACATCGGAATTCCCGGACTTTTGGCGGGATTCCCGAAATTTTATCCCGGTGGAATTAGGTGGGATCCCACTTGGAATCCCATCAAAATTCCAGCTGGGATTTCAGTGGGATTCCAGATTTATTTTCTCTTGGGTTGCCTTCCTTAAAAGGTCTCTTTTGGTCCATTTATACCTCTCATTTCCTCAAAATTTCTACTTTTTAGGCCAATAAATAAAAATTTTGGGGTAACTTGCACTCATTTATGATAGAAATGTTATAATAAATGATTAATTGAAGTATTCAAGCTGAATGAACTATCCGTATAAAAGTTTACTGTCTCCAAGGAGGTTTCAATAAGTCCTTACGTAAAACTTAAATTTACGACGCGTTCCAGAGAGGGACATAAAAAGCTTCTCTTTTGGTGAATAATTTGTTGTTACTACTTTAAAAATAATTTCATTTACTGAAAACTATATATTTATAATAAAGTATTTCTTAGGAAACATTTTCTAGTATAGCAGAATATAAGAAATAAGGAGAAAAAGCTCCCCAAAACTCTAAGTATGGCTTGTTCTGTCAACTAATATTCATGGTAAAGTCCTATTTCAAGGACATTTTCTCATAAAATGTATTTTGGAGACTCAATCCACTCAGAATATTTCATTATTTGTAATATTTCACTTAAATAGCAAGAAATTTTAACACATGAGAGTACTCACAAGGTCAAAGGTGCATGTACAGCTTCCCATATTAGGTGTAATACCACCATTTATTTTCCCCTATTAGTCTTTTTTAAATTTGCACTTTTCAAAAAATTGTGCAGAATTTATCTTTGTTTCAAATAAAGAAATACTTGGCACGAGTAAAGTTTTATCTATCCAATACTATAGAAAAAATTTCACATAACATTTCATTGCAGATAAGAAAATAACCATCACTGGAAGTTAACCAATCAAATGTCCCCCCTTTTTTAACCTGTGTACAAGCTTTAGTAACCATGTAACCTCAAGTTTCCAAAATATTCATTGAAACCCCAAATAAAAAAATAACGGTGCTTTGAAATACACAAGATATATGTTTATGACCCAGAAATGTTTTACTGCAATGAAATGTAAGATCAATTACCTACAACTGTCAATTAAAGGGAATATTTTTTTTCGACCTATTTTCGTATGCAACCGGATGTGATGTACTATGATTTGGTGGTATTACACCTAAAGAAGACTTTTTTGTTGAATAAACTAAATGTGACTTTCTTCCTTTGTAATACTGGTTATTTCAAGCATTCCTGTCAAGTTTTGTCATAATCAGTTCAATAGTTTGAGAAAAATCTAGTATAATGTAAGACGACATCTACAGCGATTCGAGCAAAATTTCTTCGAAAAATCCAAACCAAGCTGCATCATGATAGAATATATTGTGGACCAATAAATCATCAAATATTTATATCATCTGCCTACAAACAATTGAATATGATACAAAAGATGACTTTAGGATGATAAATACTACTAATGGACCTCTTTGTCTTCCTTAACAGATCTCTTTTGGTCCATTTATACCTCTCATTTCCTCAAACTTTCTACTTTTTAGGCCAATAAATAAAAATTTTGGGGTAACTTGCACTCATTTATGATAGAAATGTTATAATAAATGATTAATTGAAGTATTCAAGCTGAATGAACTATCCGTATAAAAGTTTACTGTCTCCAAGGAGGTTTCAATAAGTCCTTACGTAAAACTTAAATTTACGACGCGTTCCAGAGAGGGACATAAAAAGCTTCTCTTTTGGTGAATAATTTGTTGTTACTACTTTAAAAATAATTTCATTTACTGAAAACTATATATTTAATAAAGTATTTCTTAGGAAACATTTTCTAGTATAGCAGAATATAAGAAATAAGGAGAAAAAGCTCCCCAAAACTCTAAGTATGGCTTGTTCTGTCAACTAATATTCATGGTAAAGTCCTATTTCAAGGACATTTTCTCATAAAATGTATTTTGGAGACTCAATCCACTCAGAATATTTCATTATTTGTAATATTTCACTTAAATAGCAAGAAATTTTAACACATGAGAGTACTCACAAGGTCAAAGGTGCATGTACAGCTTCCCATATTAGGTGTAATACCACCATTTATTTTCCCCTATTAGTCTTTGTTAAATTTGCACTTTTCAAAAAATTGTGCAGAATTTATCTTTGTTTCAAATAAAGAAATACTTGGCATGAGTAAAGTTTTATCTATCCAATACTATAGAAAAAATTTCACATAACATTTCATTGCAGATAAGAAAATAACCATCACTGGAAGTTAACCAATCAAATTTCCCCCCTTTTTTAACCTGTGTACAAGCTTTAGTAACCATGTAACCTCAAGTTTCCAATAATTCTATTGAAACCCCAAATAAAAAAATAATGGTGCTTTGAAATACCCAAGATATATGTTTATGACCCAGAAATGTTTTACTGCAATGAAATGTAAGATCAATTACCTACAACTGTCAAATTAAAGGGAATATTTTTTTTCGACCTATTTTCGTATGCAACCGGATGTGATGTACTATGATTTGGTGGTATTACACCTAAAGAAGACTTTTTTGTTGAATAAACTAAATGTGACTTTCTTCCTTTGTAATACTGGTTATTTCAAGCATTCCTGTCAAGTTTTGTCATAATCAGTTCAATAGTTTGAGAAAAATCTAGTATAATATAAGACGACATCTACAGCGATTCGAGCAAAATTTCTTCGAAAAATCCAAACCAAGCTGCATCATGATAGAATATAGTGTGAACCAATAAATGATCAAATATTTATCTCATCTGCCTACAAACAATTGAATATGATACAAAAGATGACTTTAGGATGATAAATACTACTAATGGACCTCTTTGTCTTCCTTAAAAGGTCTCTTTTGGTCCATTTATACCTCTCATTTCCTCAAACTTTCTACTTTTTAGGCCAATAAATAAAAATTTTGGGGTAACTTGCACTCATTTATGATAGAAATGTTATAATAAATGATTAATTGAAGTATTCAAGCTGAATGAACTATCCGTATAAAAGTTTACTGT